TGCCAAAAATATTTATATCAGGGAGAGGATTTTTGTATTGTTAAATCTTCTTGCTAAGAGATAAAAAATGAAACGACCTCGCGCTTGAGGGCTGTCGAAACGCCCGGCGAGATTCTACTTCTCTATGCTCCTCCTTCGTTTTCTTCCTACTTCCCCCCCCTCCCTCCCCCGCCCTTTCTTTCCCTCCGTTAATAATGACGGTTGAGCGTTACTGACGACAAAGGATCTCAAAAGCCGCGCTGCGAGTCGAATCGAGAGCTCGCCGATGATATCGGTGGATAAAGCTTCCTCGCCGCGAGGGGGAAACCGCCGAGGTGTGTGGCTTCGTGCCGCGCTCGATTCTCGGCCGGACTATTAATTAACCCGCGACTACTGCCTGTCCACTGGTTAATTACAAACCCATTACCTACGCGTATTACGCCGCCGAACGGCCGCTTAATCCGGCCGGCGATGCACCTTCGACTGACACACTCGCGATGCGCACTCGCTCGCGTCGTAACGAGAGAAAAACCCCTAACAAAGGAAGCAGCGTGCGTTAGCCAGCCGTCAGACATCGATAATTATCGATCTGTCGCGGGTACCTAAGAAGAGCGCGAAACTCCGATAACGAAAAGGAAAAACTCACAAATAATTCCCTTACGCGCGGAATGACGACAGGAGAATCAATCGACGCTCGCGTTTCCAATTTCGCAGCGTCGCCGCGCCGCCGATCGCCGAGAGGCACCGCCGACTGCAAGGCAATCTGGCGCGCAAATCCGCACGTATTCACGCGCGTGCGCGAGCGCCAAGTTCGATGCGTGGAACGATCGCGCCGAAAAAGAGTCTCGATAAATTCTCGCACGGCCATTAATTATCGCCGCGGAATTATTAATAATCGCCGGCGTCTTGACAGTGGGACTCCCTCGCGATACATCACGCAGGACCCTCCAATCATAGGTCACATATCACATTCGTTCGGCGCCGAGGGAGAAAGAGAGTGAGAGAGAGAGAGAGAGAGAGAGAGAGAGGCGAGGGGGAAGAGGAACGGCTTACGAATGACAAGTTTGCCCGCAGCTACGCGATCGGGAGAGAAAAGAAGGAGAGAAAATTGGATACATCGCGGCGCGGCCATTAAGGACCGTCGCTCGCTCGCATGCGTGTGTGTGTGTGTGTGTGTGTGTGTGTGTGCGTGTACTCTCCACCCCCCTGGCGATAAACAATTAACAGTGCGATGCCGTGAGATCTGGATCGCGCGCGTGTCCGCGGCGGTGGCCGCGCGCGATGTCGTCGTCTCCTGGGCGCGTTTTCGGCGCGACGACGACAACGACGACGACGACGACGACGCACCGGGTCTGCCGCGCGCACACCTCCTCTTCGCGAGATGTTAAATCATCGGGGCGTGGCGAATCGCGGAAATTACACGTTCCATTATGGCGCCGCGCGACGACGGAAAATCTGTGTCACTCCGGACACCTTTGCTGAATGCTGAATTACGGGGGCGTGCAACGAGCCTGATAAATTATACATTCCGCTGTCGCGCGCGACGTCCACCACGCCGCTGCGGGATATTTTTTTCCTGCAGAATATTGAATTATGGCTGGCGCGTAACGGGCCAGCAATGACCGAATTACGCGCAGAGATACTTTAAATTGCGATAAATAATTAAAGGGGCGCACACAGAGGGGGAAACGGAGAAAGGGAGCTGCGACCGGGTGGACGTTTCGTAGTTGCACGCGGAACGCGCGCGTGATCGTCCGAGGAAACCGCAGCGGCTAATTTTCATTATTACACTGTACTGTTACGAGCTCATAACATATGTTGATTAAAACTGCCGGACGGGCGATATATCGATCACGGGAGGCTCGATGACGAGAATGACGACGGGACGACGATGCGCGATGAGCGAGCGCGAGCGAGAGCGAGAGCGAGAGAAAGGAAGGAGGAAAGGGGACCCGGCACACGATAAATGACGCGGCGCGCGGATCCAGCGCCGAATTAATCGATCGTAATCGATCGATCGCCGTCCGCCAATCTGCTGCCCCGTGTGGGTTTTCAATTTGCTCGGACCGTGGGGGCCTCCGTACACTCGGAACGCGCACATTAATCCCGCGATTACTATACCTCCGCGCCCCTCTCCCTCCTCGAGAGAACCGCGAGCACGCGGATCTTGCCGTTATCTCGAGTGAAAAATCTGTTTGCGCGCGCGAGCGCGATATCGATCCCGACGCGTGTTTCGCCTCTTCTTCCGCGCGCGATCGTTCGCCGCCGAGGAGGATTCCGGCATTCTTCTGATCCGACCGCGATTAAGATCACACGGTGACGCGCGTCGACGTGTCGTACTTTCTCTCTCCGGATGATTTATATTTTCGTACCTCGCGCGTGTCTGTCGAGTGTACTTTTTAGACTTTTCTTACGTAAGGCTGAAGCCGCGCGCTTGAGCCGAGGGAGGAGATACGCGAGCGGTCGCGTTGGCGCACCGCGTGCGCCATCGTGCACCTTTCAAGCAAACTTTTTTTCTCAAACTACGACATCGAGCGCGGTGCGGCGCAGCGCGAGATCGCGAGTTGGAGATTCGCGAGAAGAAATGTCGGCTGTCACGCGCCACGTGACGACGCTTTTCCCGTGACACCGGGCGTGACACTTTCGACGGCGGGGGGCATTTTTCGACTCGGAATTGTGACAGATTCTAATCCGGCCGCAAACTGTTCCGCCGCGAAAGAGTTCCTTTCTCACGATCCCGGAGCTACTTTTCAGCGCGAGACGCCTGAACGCGACATTCGTATCATCAATTCGCCATTAAGTAAAATGTACGCCTAAACGCCGCGCCACGGTGATCCTCCGGAGCGATGGAGCGTAATGACGATCACTCCCACCGGAACTCGTTTTTGCCGGCTCGTCGGCCGGCAACAGTTGATCGATGATGGACCAAAATCGAGAGACGTATGGCGATCGCCGTGATCGCGACGTGAAATTCGGCTCCCGTTTTTACTCGCGGGACCATTAACGATGCTAACGAAGGATACTCTCTCGACTCGCCGGTCTCTCTTCCCCCTCCCCGCCCTTCTCGTTGTCTTTCCTCCTTTCTTCGGACAGGAGGGAAGAAAGAGAGAGAGAGAGAGAGAGAAAAAGAGCCGTTCGCGTGTCCTCGATTGGCTCGCAATTACCATACTGCCCACGCTGATGCAGCGATGTTAACACGCACGGGTCGCGCGAAGATGGAGGGAGGGACACAAACACGCGTGATCAGAGGGAAATATTACGGAGCGCGATGACCTCTCTCCCCGGAGAGTGTCGCTCGAGCGGCGGCCGTTATCGCCTCCTCCTCGAGACTCTTCCGAGCGCGACGACGGACGAGGTAACCGCGCGCGAAAGAAGCGTGTCCGAGTGGAGACGAACGGAGGAGAAAGACGCGACGTGTCAATCCTTGCACTTTTTCGTCCTTCCCACCCCCGCCGCCGTTTCCTTCCTCCTCAGCCGAGTACCGCGGACGCACATCTGTCTCAATTCAATTAACCGCGACTGTGACACGGAGGAACGTTGCGAGGAACTCTCTCAGCGGCGAAGCAGCCGAGCGTCGCTTTTACTTACGTTTATTTACACTAATCTACGTTTATTTGCTATACTAATCTACCTTTACTTCTCAACCAAGCGCGCGCCATCTTCCTCGTGGATCCGACTAAGAGAGACGCGGCGTTTAATCTAAATATAACTCGCGCGCGCGCTTCGCGACTTTATCGCCGTTCAGCCTCGCGGATTCCCACACAGCCCAGACCGACGCGCGAGAGTATCGGCGATCGTATTTTTCAGGCGGATGTATGGCGCGCGCGGGGGGATAAGACGCGATTTGCCGCTTCAATGACTCGCCGGTGAATTTTCCCGGGCTGTCAGTCGAAAAGGCCGCGATTTATGATTTCCCGCGAACGACTTTAATGCACCGACTAGTCTCTCTCTCTCTCTCTCTCTCTCTCTCGCCGGCGCCCCGCGATAATATCTGTCCGATAACCGTGTCCCTCCTCTCCTCTCCCCTCCTCTCCAACCCATCGCGCGCGATTTTCTCTGCGTTCTTGAATCGAGCCCCGTCATTAATAACTACGCTACGGAGCGGCCTCTCGCCGCGCGAGAGGCTCATTACTTTCGATTTGTACGGAGATTACTTTCGAAACGGATTATAATAGCGGCCGAAACGGACACGGACGAACGGCCGGCCGGTCTCTCTCTCTCTCTCTCTCTCTCTCTCTCTCTCTCTCTCTCTCTCTCTCTCTCTCTCTCTCTCTCTCTCTCTCTCTCTCTCTCTCTCTCTCTCTCTCTCTCTCTCTCTCTCTCTCTCTCTCTCTCTCTCTCTCTCTCTCCCTCTCTCTCTCTTTCTCTCTCTAAGTGGCGATTCTCAAAATCAAGCGGCGCATTAAGCGGCCGATACGATTCAGCGACGGTCGATCAGGGCGACTTCGGCCGAATTTATCCGCGGCTTGACCGGCGATTATACGCGAAGCTTGTAATCCAGTGGGATTTCCCGCTTTGCATAAAAACGGTCGTTTAATTCGCTCCTTCGCAATTCCCTTAAATACGAAGGTCCGCGGAAATACGGATAATACGGGAACAAGCGGAGAGTTTGCGTGCGCCGCCGGACGCAAGTACGAGCGACGGAAACGACGCAAGAAACATTTCACGGAAGCAGCGTGCACCGCTGCAAAAAAGCAGGTCGAATCACGGTGAACGGACAATTTTACTCCAACAACTCCGACAACTCGAATCGAATATGAAGCGGAATAATTAGCGGATAAATGTTACTAATGAGATTAAAGAAGATGCCGAAAAAATAGCCCACGCTCTTCGCAAACGCGCGAAAGAAGAAGAGAGCGAGCGATCCAGTTGTTTCGATAAGAAATCGAATGCACAGCGCAGGTGTATGTTAGGTTATGTTAGGTTAGGTTAGGTCAAGTCGGCGAGACGCGCGTCGCACATCTTCGACAGCGCAAACCGTGCGATGCATGCACGCGTGAAGGAGAAAAAATAGAGCTCACCTTGCTCGCACTCGTCAATGTCCTCGGAGCAGTCCAGTCCTTTGTATCCGGTGGCGCAGGAGCAGGTGAAGGAGCCGTTGATAGGGCTGGTGTCGCAGATCGCGCCCTCATGACATGGATTCGACGTGCAAGCGTCGTCGAGATGGCAAAGGAGTCCTGCGACACAAACGCGAGAGTTCCTTCGTCAGTCGATTTCTCACGCGACACTTCGCACACTCACACGCGCGTATGTGTACGTTCGCTGAAATTATGGAATAATCCCGATAATTTGCGCGGAAGTTTTTTTCGCCACGAACGAATGAACCTTTGTGTGCGGCGAATCGCGTTGCTTCGACGCGCGACCGACCGGCGAGCCACACACGCGATGTAAAGCGCCATCTCTGTAAACTATAAAATAATTCGCCAGGGGTGACGTCGGAATTTCACGCGGATTTTGCCGCGACTTCGTGTCGCCTCTTCGGCGCGTGACGACAAAATGACATTCAACAAGTCGCGCGCGCGCGCGCGCGGATAAAAACGTGTTTACATTCGCGATCGTACTACGCGCTTCACTGATCACAAATACTACACTAATACACGTAACGGCATTCAATTGGTGAGAATACTGCACGAAAACGTGAAAATATTTAACTCGCCGTTTATCTTCCCAACCAAGTGACTAAACTAAGGTCCCAATGGGGTCTCGGACACGTCCGAACTTTGAGAAAAAAATTTACTATTTATTTCAACAATGAATGAAAGTAACAATTATTGTAAAGAACAAAAAAAAACTCCAATATTTGACGATTACTTGGAAAAAAATATCCAATACTTGATGTTAACTTTTGTGCTAAAATAAAAATTAATTAAATAAGTATGCACGTATAGTTTGGCAAAATAATGGTCAATCGTTAATAAATTCATTAAGAGATACCATTTATATTTATATTATTCCTCGTTAACCCCGAATCTTAAGTTTTCGAATAAATGTAAATATTTATATCGAAACTATTATTAATGTTATATATTGTATTGTTTGTAACGACGTTTTTAAACATCCGGTTACTGGGACATTTACCTTGCTCGGCAACGAATAAGCGCGTGGATTTTTATCTCTTTTTAGTATTATCAGTTTTCAGAGCGGAGGGCATCGTATTATCACGCGGAAAGATTCGCGGAAAGATTTGGGATTTTTCTCGACGTATAAAACCGACGTGAAATTCAGCCGCGATGCGCTTCGCAGAGCCTTGCAAAAGATCTCTCTATCATCGTTCATCAGCGCGATAACAATCACGCTCGATGGCGGGCATGTAGAATATCATCGAACACGCCGTGCACCTCCCTCCCTCCCTCCCTCCCTCCGAGCCGGGCGCAGCGAATTATGCGGCCGTACAAATTATTGCAAGGCGAGTTGAGGAAATTGCCGCGGCATCGTAAACACCCCTGCCCCCGCGGAAGGACAATATAAAATCGAGAAAGCCAACGCGCCGGAGGACGTAATTTTCCCTGGGAAGCGGCTCGCGTGTATCGAGGCGAACTTTTCTTTACGAGGCCCGATAACGGTACGGGAGTCCCCGGGATATTCATATATAAAGCAGAGTAAGTGCATGCAGACGCACGAGCGTGCACCCGCGAGTAACTGTAACTATATCTCTAACGCGAACTCTGAAAGCACGCCCGAAGGCGGCGCAGGAACGAGGGGGCCCATTACACGCGTTCGTGTGCACCGCGGGTCCGTTATAACTCCTGCGAACTCTCTTCCTTCCTCAACCGTCCTAAAAAGACGGTAGCCTCTCTACTCGCGGAATATCACGCACTCGTTCTCGTTCGTCCTGGAGCGGACGCGCGCGCGCGCGCAGGACATTCTTTGACGGCCAATTCGCGATTTTTCAGCGACAGGAGCATCGCAACAGCAACATCGCGATGTTGTGCTCGACGAGAGAAATTTATCGACCGAAATCTTTTACCGAAGCCACCTTTTCACGAGACGTGGCCGTGCGAGACCTGCAAATTTAGATTTCCCACCAGGTCGCTCGCTATCTCGTGTTTTGGACGAGACGACAATTATTCCCCGCTTGTCTCGACATCATTCGAACGAAATCATTTTTATTTGATTTCACTTTTATTTTATCCGGCAAAAAACAGGCGAACGGTCCTCCGCGGAAGGAGCCTGCCCGCGCTCGCGCGTTCTCATCGAACTCCACGGTTCCGCGAATCGTCGGGGATCGCCGCTGGTCGACGCGAAAGCTCGGTTCCGGGGAATCGCGATGCGGTGGCGTGGCGTGGCGACAAAAGAAGAGAGAGAGAGAGAGAGAGAGAGAGAGAGAAGGAGAGAAATATACCTGTATTTGGCGATTGGCGGAGGATCGATCTGAAAACGGTTCACCTCGCGACTGCTCCGCCGAGTGACCGGCGAAGGAAGGAGAGTAAGGACAGAAACTCGTTTCCAAGTCGCCAAGGTCGACACACGGCGAAGCCGGGGCGCCCGGGGAGTCCGCGGAATCTCGAGATTCCGAAGGACCCGTTCTCTCTCTCTCTCTCTCTCTCTCCCCCCCTCTCTCTCTACGTAGCGCTCTTGTAGTAAGCGCGTCGTACTGGTCGCACGTGTGCAGATGCACCTGCCGATGCATTTCGCGGCGCGAGTCGCGAGTCTTATTCCCGGCCATACTCGGCGTCGAGTTAATCACCCCGCGGATGCGCGACCTCGCCGAGGCGAGCCGGGGAAGGAGGACATGTCTTAGCGTCTGTCTCTTTCCCCTCTATCCTCTTCCTATCAAACGCAATCGGGGAATCGCAGGCTTCCGTCACATTTCCCGATCGATACCGCGCCGAATCGCAGCGCAACGAGCAGCGGGCATCGTCCCGGTGGAACGCGCGATTGATACCAACGGCAGAACGTGAAACGTGCCCTCGAGGAAGGGGCGGTTCCAGTGTCAGCGAGTCGATCCCCCCGCGGCGAACAGCTACGCCTGCGGTCGTAGCGTCCAGCACTGCATTTCCTCGAGCGTCGAGAGAAGCCGAAGAGAATCGATCCTTTTCGCGATTGAAGTGCCGTGTAATTAACATTCAAACCGCATCGTGGCGAAGCTCGGCGATTTTTGCAGCGATTCGACTCCTCTCTCCCCCGAAATCGCCACCCGAATCGCCGCGACTCGGAACCTCCCGCGAGCGAAACATTGCCTCCTCCGCTGCCGATGATCGGCGCCGTCGCTACCCTCCACCAGCACCAGCCGGGAGGGCGCAAGGGGTAAGACGAGTCTCAAGTCACTTACCGGTCTTGCCGTATGTGCACTGGCAGTAGAAGCTGCCGACGCGGTCGATGCAGGTAGCGCCGTTGAAGCAGGCGGCACCTGCACAGTCATCGATGTTGACGCTGCAGTCGGGCCCGGTCCAGCCGTTGACGCAGATGCACGAATAGCTGCCGTGTGAATTCGTGCACGTAGCGCCGTTGTGGCACAAGGACGGCCGCACGGAGCACTCGTCCACGTCGAGCTCGCATTGCGTGCCCGTGAAGGCCGGCGGACACAGGCAGGAGTACTCGTTCACCCGGTCCATGCAAGTGGCACCATTCTGGCAGAGGTTGCCCGGGCAGTCGTCGATGTTCTCCTGGCATTGGTCCCCTCGGAATCCTGGAACAGCGAGAGATCGCGGGCTTGAGTTAATTCGGGTTTTCCTTGGACAGACGCTGGCGCGCCGAGAGGAAGAGGTCGATCGAATTTTCACTCGCGACGAGCGAGACCACGGCCGAACGGCCTTGAGAAAGATGAAACTTTTCAGTTAGAAACTGAACTCTGCGAGTTCGGTTCTCTCCAGTCGGAGATCCTGTCTTCTCGTCGTCGCGTTAATCGACCGATTCTTCGTGTTTGTACACGAGATGTTGATTTCAGGCTATTCATCTATCGTCGCGCGGCGCGCCTCGTGAATGTAAAGTTTGCCTAATCATAAAAATGAAAGGAATTTCCAGGGCCAACATGTGCGAGCGTGTTGTCCTTGTCTGTGCAAATTGCGTCGACTGTCAGGACTCTGCGGACGCGGTATATTTTACACACACCAGCGTTGTCGGTGGCTGATGTATGAGCAATGCCCGATTAAAAATTTTGATCAGGTTCTCATAATATCGATAAGGACCTAATAGGGTGAATGAAAGGTAATCCTAAGTAAATCAGTTCTTATAATATCCTAACGACAAGTGAGTAAGGAAGACCTTTATAAGGTTATAATGATTGGGTCCACATTAGGACCTTAATGCATCAACTTAGTGTATGATATAATATGATTTAGTTAATCAGGTCCTTGTCGGGATCTTATTCATTCAGTATCTAATATGATTTGCATTATCAAGTTTTAACAAAACAATTTTTGGGTATCATTTCCAAATATAAAGATGTTTGCATTGAAAAAACACTTCAGATCACTTGGATATATATTTGTAAAATGCTTTAGAAATTATCCTTTTTTAGCAGTCAATAAATAGTTGTAAAATTAACGTGACATGCAACTTTTCTCTTTAACGGTACTTTGTGCCTTGTCACCTTGTGATACTTTATGATCTTATGATATTCATTTCATGTTTCTTTTCCGAAACATTTTACAAGTATGCTCGAGCGATCTAAAATATTATTTCATGCAAATATCTCTTTATTTGGAAATGACGTGAAAGAATTTTCAGCGTGTCATTTCTTATTTCTAATGTCATCATCCAATATAGCCGTGGCGAGTAATCAGGAGCCATAATTTGAAAAAAAAAAAAAACCGTAATAAGAATTCCATAAAGTAACTCAATAAGGACCTGACTATGAATCCTTACTAAGATCCTGATGTCCACCCTGCGTTACATGACTTACTAGGACCCGATAGTATTACCTTATTGGAATCTGATGTCCAAATGAGGTTAACCTGATCAGGACCATGAGATAAATTTCTAGTTGGGTAGGGGCAAGAGATTGATAATCAAAGTCCCGGAGCGAGTCTCGCAAGCAAGCAAGTTACGCAGTCACTATATATTACAGCGCGCTCTTATTGACGTAAATTGCAACAATCGTGATAGCAAAACTCAGCCGAAGGATAATGATCGCAAGGCGATGCGCCGTTACCGAGGCAATTAAACCATCCTCGGCCGGGCCGGTGCGCTTCACGATCATTCTCTCTAATTCTCTAATTCGTTTTTATCGCTCAGCCGCGCGGTCGCGGCCGAGCGATTTGCATGGCAACGAACGGGCAATCACGGCGCAATTAATGATCAGCAGCGCGAATCGAAGCGTCGATATTTTCCAATCCGCGCTCTCAACGCGGCGGCAAGGGTAGCAGCGACGGGAACAGGAGGAGGAGGAGGAGGGGGAGGAGGGGGAGGACCGAGCGGACGACGAACGGCCGGCGCGAGAAAAGGGAAAAAAAGGACGCGCGCACGCGCGATCTTTCTCGTTACAGCGCGTCGGCAGGATGATGATCGTGCGGTGGTTATAAAGAGAACTCATTACCGCAACACGTCGCACCGGGCCGGCGCGAGCGGGCTGCGTCGTCGTGCGTGTTCGTCGGCGTGAAAAATCGAAAACGGCGGATCGACGCGCCGGTCGTGTCGGAGCGACGCGCGACGGTCGGTTTTACCCGGCACTAACTATGAGCTCACGCTTCGATCGATTCGACGCCGAGCGGGAAGACGAGACGAGAAGAAGAAAAAGAGAAGAAGAAGAGATCGCGGCGGGCCCGACACGCCGCTGGGGAGCGCGAAGAGGCGCGCATCGACATGGCCACCGACGGCCGTGAAATCGACGCCGGCGACGGCGCCGGCGATGGCGACGGCGACGGCGACGGCGACGGCGAGGAGCTGCGAGGACGCCGATTCGCGCCGACGTCGTGTCCGGCGAAGAAACGCTGAGCAAACAGCGGCGGAAACGCGCCAGCGGCCGCGTCGTGCGCCAAGCTTTTTGCCCGACGCGAACGCGCAGTTCCGGCGAGAGAGCGAGTGCGGAATGATATCGGCCGCTGCACGGAGCGGAGTAGAAACGCGTGTTCTGCCTTCTTTCGGGCCGATCGTGGAGCTCGTTAATTCCTACGCGCGCGACCCGCTGCGCTGTGTTGTTACCGCGATGCCATGTCGTCGAATAGGAACTCGAGTTTCTGGACATGGAGAACCGCCCAGTCGACGTGCCCTTGAACCCCGGAGAGAGGCGCGCGCGCGAGAGAGACAGAAAGAGAGAGAGAGAGAGAGAGAGAGAGAGAGAGAGACAGACAGACAGAGAGAGAGAGAGAGAGAGAGAGAGACAGAGAGAGAGAGAGAGAGAGCGAGAGAAGACGGACGAATGGAGATCGGCGGATCGGTCGAATCGACGTTGCATGACGCTCGATTATCCGCACATCATGGAGAGCTTTCTTCTTTTTCGTCGCACTCGTTTTCTGCTCCCGTTGAACCCGGGCAAAACAAACATACGGACGGACGCGCGACGGCGAATGGATTCGCGACGGTTCGTCGCGACCTCAAAGGATTCGATTACGCGTGCATCTCTCGCTACCGCGAGAGCTTTCCTCCTTCTCATTCCGACTCATTGTCCGTCTACGTCTCGAAATTTACATTCCGCGTCTTCGAGATCGGTGAATCGTGACGACCGCGTTGCCGCGGAGGCGCTCTGACTTCGAAGTCGGAATTACAAACTCAAATGGCTCCGAGTCGAGGGAGCTCTTCTTCCCTCCGAGTCATCCGGTGATTACGATTTTCGCTCGATCCCGATATCGTCGTTGTCGGCTCTCGCTCGTCTCTCCATTTCATTCGCACAAGTTTCGAAAATATCGCATAAATGAAGATAGAAGATATCCAAGCAGCGGCAGCTCTGCCCGGCTCCCGCCCGGCTCGGCTAATTCCGTGGCGGGACTGATTCCACGGCGCGTCTCAAAGTTCATTTTTAATTAAGACGTCTTACGTCGCGTCGGGGGGGGGGTGAAGTTCGCGCACGCGAGGGAGCCACGCGGGTGGACGCGCCGTGCCGTGCCGTGCCGTGCCGTGCCGTGCGATCGCTCGATCTCCGAGCCGCCGTGAGTGCCACCGATAACGAGAACGTGGAGGAACAAACGAGCAACACACGCACAGCGCATGGACACACCGACAGATAAGACGCCGCGGCGTAATTAAGCGGCGATAGGGAACGGCGATCGTTCGGCTGCCGCCGACCACGCTCCCCCTCGTGCACGCGAAGAGACATGAAGGCGAACGAGGCCACGGACAGGGAAAGGAGGAACGATATCGGCGGGGCTAATAGCACCGCCGGCAATTACTATCGGCAACGTGTCGCGCCAGGTGTCGATATTATTTCGCGATATCAATTATTCCCGCGCGACGCCTCGCCTTCGCTTACGCGTGTCCTGCCGCGCGCGCGCGCCAATTACCGGCGAGGACATCTCGGCGATGTCGGCGTCTCGAGAGCCGTTATCAGCGATATCGATAATTTGTTTACCGATATACATCTATTCGAGTCGAACGTCGCGACGAACCACCGCTTGTCCCCGACTAGAAATTTATCCCATGGTCCTGATCAGGTTAACCTCATTTGGACATCAGGTCCCAATAAGGTAATGCTATCGGGTCCTAGTAAGTCATATAACGCAGCGTGGATATCAGGACCTTAGTAAGGATTCATAGTCGGGTTCTTATTGAGTTATCTTATGGAATTCTTATTACGGTTTTTTTTTTTCAAATTATGGCTCCTGATTACTCGCCACGGCTATATTGGATGATGACATTAGAAATAAGCAATGACACGCTGAGAATTCTTTCATGTCATTTCCAAATAAACAGATATTTGCATGAAATAATATTTTAGATCGCTCGAGCATACTTGTAAAATGTTTCGGAAAAGAAACATAAGATGAATATCACAAGATCATAAAGTATCACAAGGTGACAAGACACAAAGTAGTAAAGTAGTGTTAAAGAGAAAAGTTGCATGTCACGTTAATTTTACAACCATTTATTGACTGCTAAAAAAAGGATAATTTCTAAAGCATTTTACAAATATATATCCAAGTGATCTGAAGTGTTTTTTCAATGCAAACATCTTTATATTTGGAAATGATACCCAAAAATTGTTTTGTTAAAACTTGATAATGCAAATCATATTAGACACTGAATGAATAAGATCCCGACAAGGACCTGATTAACTGAACTGATATTATATTATACACTAGGTTGGTACATTAAAGTCCCAATAATTATAACCTTATAAAGGTCTTTCTTATTTATTTGTCGTTAGGACATTATAAGGCCTGACTTACTTAGGATTACCTTTCATTCACTCTATTAAGTCCTTATCAATGTTAGGTGAACCTGATCAAAATTTCTAGTCGAATCAGTTGCGACAGAAATGTTGACGATACGTGATTATAAAAGTATAACACTCTCCGCTGTTGTCGCTTGCGTTTCTTTTCCCTCCGCTCTTTTCTTTCCTTCACTCTCTGTCTCCCGCTCTCTATCTCACTCTCTCTCACTCTCTCTCTCTCTCTCTCTCTCTCTCTCTCTCTCTCTCTCTCTCTCTCTCTCTCTCTCTCTCTCTCTCCTTTTTTTCGAGATATTATTATAACCAGACGCTTATTAACCGCTATGAGTAAGCGACGACGACTGGTCGGGAGCGGACGCGCCGAG